CAGTTGCGAGCACCGTAAAACATTTAACAAAAGAGAGGAAAAAATGAAAGAATTTGTCTGAGTACAGAAGCCTGTCCGTCTTACTGTTGGCCTGCACCAGACGACTAAATTATTGTTCAGATGGTGGGTGGTTGGCGGGTGCTCTGGTGTGGTTTGCTTCTTCTTTCCTATCAGACATCTATTGTCTTTATCTCCCCTCCTTCTTTTTCGTGTTTGTTACTCTCTTGTAACACCTCTAATCTTCGGCACTTTATGACCTTATTGTGTTGCAAGTGACGTAAAACATTTACTAAAACTAAAAATAGTAAAACGTTTTTTGAACATTTTATGTATTTCATGAAAATATTTCTACGTTTTGCCTGGGCCTAGACTTAACAGTAAGTGGTTGGTGTGTAATTTGATCCTTCTTTCCTCTCAAACATTATCTTTCGTCCGTATCTCTCCCCCCCTCCTTCCTTTTGTATACCCAATTCGCTAGCTGTGGCATCGCTAATCTTCGGCACGTATATTTATTGTGTTGCGTGTGTCGTCAAAGTCTTACTACAAAACTAAAGTATAGATCTATATAACCTATTTTTGTTGTGAGTATTGTAAAACTTTTACTAAAACTTAAACTTATACGATGTAATTGTGTTGTAAGTACCGTGAAACTCTTACTTAAACTAAAACTTACATATGGGTGGTTGGCGGATGCTCTGGTGTGGTTTGTTTCTTCTTTCCTATCAAACATCTATCGTCCTTATCTCACCTCCTTCATTTTTATGTTTGTTACTCTCTTGTAACACCTCTAATTTATGCAGTTGCGAGTGTCGTAAAACCTCTACTAAAACTAACTAAAACTAACTAAAACTTACATATGACTTATTTGAGTTGTAAGCGCTGAAAAACTTATTTGAACTAAAACTTCCATGACTTATTACTGTTGTAAGTGCCGTAAGGTGGGTGGTTGGCGAGTGCTCTGGTGTGGTTTACTTCTTCTTTCCTATCAGACATTATCGTCTTTATCTCCTTTCCTTCTTTTTTAAATGTTTGTTACTCTCTTGTAACACCTCTAATCCCTCTGGCGCTCATATGACCTTATGCACTTTCGAGCACAGTAAAACCCCCACTAAATCTAACTGAAAAACCTGTTTGAACTAAAATTTCTATGACATATTAGTGTTGTTAGTTCTTCGAAACTCTTAACGAAAACTTGCAGAAGGGAACCAGGAACTTATGGACAGCACACGGCCGTGCGTATAACGATGCTGATTGTTGCAGTGCCAGGGTGTTTTTTGTTGCTGTTGTGTAAATATTGTGGCGCGTCTCGCCCCTTTTATCTGATGTAGTTAGCAGACGTGGGGCTGGCCGGAGAGGACTTCCTCTGTTGTCGCTATCACTACCATCTGGATGCGGAGAGGGATGGG